GTGCAAATTTCACATGGGTGGGTAAAATTACTGAGGGGGATATTGTGAGGATCCAAGCAACTTGGGGAACCCACCCTTAAAAGCTAGCTGTTAAGGGGGAAGAACCAAGTCACTTAAATACCCCATCAAGCAGCCCATACTACCCGATGTGGGACTTTAGTCCCTAACAGATATTTTGTCCAGTGAAAATTACGGTTCACGCCTTTAGAGGCTTCTTTCATTTACTTATTTATCTATTTTTGTTGGTGAAGGAATTTTGAAAGTTGGAGTGGGGTTTTTTGATAACCCCTGAACTTTAGGGGGTTCCGATATTTTGAAAGTTATGGGGGTATCTGATAACCATCCAAAGTAAGTTTTGGAGGTTTTTGAAATTTTGGCACTTGAATATTGGCTATGGAGTAAGTTCCCAAAGGCTGCATTTGGATTCAAGGATTTGATTTCAAATTCTAGAATTTGTACTTTGTAATTTCAATTCCAATTCCATTGTTTGGGAATCCTTCCATTGTTTGGGAGTCCTTGTAATTTCAAATCTAGAATTCTCAATCCTAAATTCATTGTATGGGAAGCCTAAGAATTTTCAATTCGTTTGTTTGCCAAAAAAAAAAAAGAATCAATTGCTAAACTAGAGTTGTCAATCAAAGGCAATTTGAAAACAAAAATATATGTATTTAATTTACATAAGTTAAGCATCAAGATCCACAGAATTTAATTTCTAAACAAGATTTGATATTTTTCCTCATGCATAACCAGATAATTTAGGGACTAAGACAGTCATACAAATTTTGCTATGCTCTTCAATCCAATGCAACCATCCAGACAAATGTGTCCGAATTCTACTCGGTTTGACAAAGAAATTTTAGCCAATAGGAAACTTGCAAGCTTTGGAGGCATAGAGTAACTAGAAAAGTAAAATAGTAGTTGCAACCATTATCAATATGGCTGTTGCTAATAGAAAAGATACAATTGTCACAAAATGTAAAGAAATACAAGTTAAAGCACCCTCACAGTGTAGCTTATTAATACGTTTTGTCTCAGACAATATAATCAGAACTCAAAATATGGAGGTATAAAAACCGACCTGGTTGTAAGTTTTGTCTTAGACAATATTATCAGAACTCAAAATATGGAGGTATAAAAACCTCTTCATTGAAATATCACATTTATTCGAATCCTACAATAACTTTCTAGTTTCTACAGTCTTTGAATTTTTTGAAGCGGCAACTCGTGCATTTGGAGCTTCATAACATCCCTTGTGAGATTCCTAGCTATCCTTAACCTGGAAAAAAGAGATGAAATTTGTGTAATATACCAACGACACAAAAGAAAACTATCTGATTGTGAAACATACCAACGACACAAAAGAAAACTATCTGAAAGATTCAAGATCATGATTATATGTATAATTGACCAATTACTTTGATAAGCTATATTAGACATTCACAGTTGACTTAAGTGCTATGAGATAACCCTTCATTAGAAAATAACAAGAAACTCTGCTAGTACTTTTATTTCAATAAGAAAAACTGAACCATTGTTGTCCAAAATAAACAGCTAAATTTAGATACATGTAAAGGAGGGTTCGACATATTAAGAAACAGACATATAGCTACTTCTAGTAAAATAAGGAGTGCAGGGTTAGCAAAGCTTAGAAAGTATCAGCTTCTTGTTCATCAAAATAACCTTTCAGCTTGCTAAGCTAAAACAATATTCCAAGTTTGACATGTATATCGAAAAAATCATTGTACTTGATATGGACTAAATTATTAAATGACATGTATATCGATAAAATTCATGAATATTTGATCAACATTCCACATGAAAATTCAATATTTCATATCTAGGTTAGGACCATTTTTCAGCACGATCATTAACCACCACCACCACCATAATCTAAGGTCTCTGTCATCAAAACAAGCTACTACCCAAGGACTATAAGATAAAACTAATGTGTGGGATCAAAGCATATATATATAACTCAGTCTCATATTACAACCATCTGCCATGCTGACATCAAACCTAGAAAACAAGTGGTGTGGTAAGGTTACAGTCAATTTTGCATAGCTAAGTTCTCATGAGAAAGCAGCAGTTTCGAACTGTAAACATGTTAGTTTCATGAATTCAATTTGTGCTAGACAAAAGTACTACGTAGATTTGAATTGAAGATCAATGATTTTAAGAGTGTAGATGTCAAAGATGTAGAATTACAACATAGCCTCTCTTCAGTATGCCAAGAGACATAAATCTCAATCCATTGAAATGAAGTCACCACTTCTAGATTATCTCCAAGGTTCACCCAAACTATTATTAACCTAATTTTATTTACATCAACTTTGCTTTTTGTTCTTCAAGGAACAAATTCTCAAACATAGCAAATCAAACTTACTAAAGAAACTGCCGATCCAATCAAAATACTTAAAACGGTTAACAAGCCCAATAATCAACTCAAGCTTGACACTTCCACAATCCTACCTACTTCTCTACTTACCAAAAATCAGAATACTGATTTTCCTTTTTTTTGTTGGGTGGAATGAAAATGATCTAACTACAAATTGTCTGAGCAATTTGTGTGCATTATATACACATTATTTATTCAAGATATAAACTATTTATCAAGATTCTCAGTACAATAAAGCGAAATAGGGATAAATTGAATAAAAGAAATGACATTCTTTATGATATTGAAATGGCAAAGCAAAACAACACAATTTTTATCTCAATTGAATCTCTTAGAATGAGAATCAAGCTTCCAGATTCTATGAATCGAAGTAGAGACCTTGGCTGAAAAAAACCCTAGAACAATAAATTGAACTATTGAGATTTCAGAGATGGAGTTTGGATTTTGAGAGAAGTATGTTGATGAATTTTAGAGAGAATCATCTCCCGTGTTTGTCCTCTTTTAGAAACCCTAGCAACACGCTGATGATATCTTCTACTAAGAATGGGGGAGGAAGGACGAGCTGAGATCAGGATCAGAAGTCGAGACCAAATCCCTAACTCTGGATCATAAGTCAAGATCGAGAGAGAAGAGGGACGTGTCTGGAGAGACAAATAGATTTTTGAAATGACATGGGTTTAGAAGTCATTTAGAAATTTTAGGCCCAACATGTTAAGATTTAATTGGAATTGGGCCAATTCCAAAGCCTCAAATAATTTTGTATCCAAACATTGGGATTGGCCCAATTTCTGAATTTGAAATTGCATTCAGTTCTGAGGCAGAAACTAAACCAAAAACCAAATAGAAATTTATTTTTAGAAACACATGGCTTGTTTTTTCCTTTTACTTTCTAATTTGAACATGGTTAGCAACCTTCTCAAGATGTGCATATTGATGACTTGAGATTCTAAGGGGTAAAAATAAATCCTGTCAATCAGAACTTGCATATTCTGAGTTGGTCGAAGTCGAACAGTATCTATTAACATCTAAGGGAATCAAATATCACACTAAACCAAGTTGAGCTGACAGGAGAGCATTCCCACGTCGTAGGATAAAAAATCCCTAAATTTAGTTAGAAGCTAAAACATGAAAAGGCAATATTTAGAGAAATCGATATATCTAATTAAGAAGTAGATACGTCACCCCGTTGCGCACTGATAAGATAGTTGCATTTTACATTCTGCTTCTGTATATCCTCGTGAGCTCCAAAAACTTATCTTGCTTTAGTCTTCAAACCTTATATTTACTAAGTCAAGTTTTACGGTGCCTTCTCAATTAGTAAAGAGCTCTGTTTTTGTCAATCACCTTTACTTGCAGTCTCGTTATTTTTCCAACTCAAATTTTGTAATTCCTTATCAGTTCATGAAGAGAGCTATTGTTTAGCCAAACCAAATTCTATATTAAGGCTCTGACATCTTTTTTTTGGCTTAGTATTTATGCATGCATCTTTTATCAAATTACTATCGTTAATCGTGCATCTTTTATTAAACTTCTGCCGTTATTCAAAGGTATGAATTAGAATATTGTTGCATGAATTACATCTTTGGTTGTGATATTACTTGGTAGGTATCCATATTTTATAGATTTATATTATGTTGCTGTTTATGCTTGTAGTTTTGGTAGCATGATGATTACCATGATATTTGAAATTTATTCATGGACTTATTTTTGACTTTTACCTCATTTTTGCAGCTACTGCTGGTACAAATAAAGCTGCTTCTAGCAGCACATCACTGAATACAAGAAAGCTTGATGAGGAAACAGAGAATCTTGCTCGTAAGTTACTTTACTTTTTCTTTATACTCGTAAGTTATTTACTGTTTCTTTATACTCGTCAGTTACTTTACTGTTTCTTTATACTTGTCACCTTTGCAATATTTTTATTTAATTTTGTTTCAAAAAAATTCCACCTGGTTAAGCTTTTTGGATGGGTACCTAAACATAGTCTTATGCAGTGGGATCAACATATTGATCTGGAGAAAGAGGGGGAGTCGGGAGGGAGAACAGATCTCTCAATTTTGTGTGTGTGCGCATTTAATGCAAGATTGCTGGCTCTTCACATTCCTGGAGGATTTTGCATTCTCATGGAATGTAGTCTTTAGAGTTGTCAGGGATCGGGGGCAAAACTCTATATGCATTTAAAGTCCGTTTCTACTTCAAAATTCTGCTTGTTATCTGTATAATAGTAGGTAGGGGTGTTAACGGAGCAGATACAGTTCATATATGACACTTATCATATCCATATCCGCTTTCTATAAATGAATACGGATATGGATACAGATTATCTTGGGTAAGAAAAAACCTTAACCATATCCGCACTTATCGGAAACGGATATCGTTCGGATATTTGAGAATCGGATTGGATACGATCACAGATATTTGACAAATGGATTTTTGTAATTATATCTCCGAGTCATCGTCATCCACTATCTCAGCCACATCAAGAACATCAAATTATTATGCTAACATGTGTTTTTGTAATTTGAACAAATTATTATGCAATTAAAGACCTCAAACACTATGTTTAACTTTGTACTTACTTCAAATTTGATTTGTCCACCAGAACTTTCCTCTCCACCTCCACCTCTTTCCTCACTTCCTTCACCTTCGCCGCCGCCGCCACCG